AATTTTTTATTTGTCTGAATTCTGTTCCAGTCCCAAATAGACACTGAATTTAAATAGCTCTTTTTAGCATACTGTGGTAATAGCTCATCCTTGTGAAGTATCCCAAAGTTAGTTAGAACTTGCAGGCCTTTAAGATATTCAAATTTGTTTCAAACACGAGATATATCACCCCAAACAGTGTTGTTACACATTGGTGAATCTTACCAGTGTACCCAGTGAGGCAAGAAATATATTTCTTTGTGCCCAGCAGGTTTTCAGAAATTTTTGCATAGTGACTACTTTCTGAAGCCTAAACTCTTGTGTATTTACCTAGGGTCCTCCAAGCGTGAAAGCAACGCTGGGTGATGAAGCAGAGAAATCTCATAGATTCTCACATGCACTGGCCATAGGCTGTGATGAAGTAAGCAGATGTATCCAGAAATCCAGTACCCTTCTCTGAAAATGGGGGGCACACTAAAAATGTCCTTGTGCTATCTTTATTTTGTGACAGTACTCTTTCAGCACCATGGACAGACACAATCCTGGACATGTGGCAATCGAATTGTCTATAAGGTTCTTGTAGCAAACTGTTTTGCTATGTCAAATTAATTTGGTGTTTGTGATAACAAGGGGGAATTTTTCCATTTTCACTTTCTTTAGTGCTTTTCAAAATAATGAGCAAGTTTGAATACAGCAAAAATTCATTGCTATGAGAAGGGAATTGCTATTTTTTTTTATCCAAAATGATCTAACTAATAGATTGAGAGTATGTATGCAAAAAGCTTCAACAGACACAAATGACAGCAAAAAGTTACACCAAAGGGATGCAAAAGTAATCAAATGTCATGTTTCTGTGCTTTTCAATCAGGTGATCCTAATAAGTCACAACTGGTACAGTTCCCACTCCAGCAACTTAAAAAGTCAGCTGGAAGTACTTCTATCCATTTAAACAGTGCCAAATGTGTTATAATAGCATGTGTTTACATTTGCATCAGGGCATTTTCTCCCAAAGGAAGACAAATCATATTAGCGATGCTAACATCCCTTCCTACCCACCTTTAATTTTGGAACGCAAACAGAATTAAATTAATACAAAAATCTTCAAAGGGAGAAATGGTAAGGGTCCACCAAGAAAGCATCTTTACATATAAGCAGCCAGTAGAACAATATCCCGGTTCTCTTCCTAGTGAGGGAGAGACAATAGAAGAAAGAAGTCAGCTGGAAAGGGGAAGGTGTGTCTTCATGCATATATTCACCAATATATGAAGAGCTATATCATTGGAAGCATTGCTAGGTGGGGACTAAGCAGTGATAGACAATCAGCACAGTTTCGTGTAACTGGAATCCTGCTATGTTAATAGACACCCATCTCTCATACCCTGGAAGAACCGTAACTAGAAAAAGCAAGACGTTTACTGACATGGCCAGCTCTGAAAACACACAGGCAACTTTGTCTGGATCCGACATTTTATATTTAGGAGCATATATGTATTTGCACATACATATGTGCATATCATAACAATTAATGAGAAAAGAGTCCATGAATTTGAAGAAATTGTGAGGGCTCTGTGAAAGGCTTTGGAGGAAGGAAAGGGAAGGGAGGAATGTAATTAAAATACAATCTCAAAAGCAAAAAACAACAAAGCTTGCAGACCCTCTTCAGAAAAACAGCTTTCTACCCTAACAAAGACAGGGCAGGTGACTGTCATTTTGCAAGTGGGCGTTTCCCTGATTCTTAAAATTTTTAAAGAAAAAGAATCAGACCTAGGCATGCAGTGACTCGCTGATATGGTTCAATCTGAACCCTTCCCACAGCCCATCAGGTTTGCAGACCTAGAGGTCAAATAGGAAAGAGAGGCTTGAAAAAAATGAGAAAAAAAAAGAGAGATGCTGAGCACACCATCAGAGAACAGCTGTGGAATTTTCCCTTTACATCTGAGTAAACATGTTTCTCTAGTCTTTTCAGTAGATTCATTCTCAGGAAGCTTTACAATCCAAACATAATCAAGCCAGTCCTGATTCAGAAAAGAGAGAGAGAGAGAGAGAGAGAGAGAGAGAGAGAGAGAGAGAGAGAAGGAACCATCCATTTATATTGTCTGAAAGGGAATGGACTATATTTGCTTTGCACAGTGGCAAATCGGTCACCAAGTTCGGACAGATGCTCATGATGTTCATGATCAGCTTTACCCAGAAAGGCAAAAATAAAGAAGTTGTCAGCACAACTCTATGAAGACAGTGTGGCTTGCTGATACGAGCAGTGTGCAAAGCCCACAGGCAATGAACAGCTCGTGGCTATCATTTCCCAAGGTTTTATGTACAAGAAAAGTGGTGTTCTATAGCAAATTTATTTGAGTCAATTGATTCACTTAATGATTTCACTAAAAAAGTGAAATATTAAAAAAATATTGGGACAAGTGAGGTGGCTTGGCAGGTAAAGGCACTCACTGCCAAGCCTGGGGACCCTAGTTCAATTCTCAGGTCTAAGTTCAATTATCAATTTCTTCTTCTATGTTAGAAGACGAAAACCAAACCTAGAAAACTGTTCTCTGATCGTCACACATGAGCTGTGACACAGGTATAGTCACACACATACAATACACACATGTACACATAATAATAAATAAATGTTTAAATTATTTTAAATAAAAATGAGATAACTTTGAATTGATAGTCTGAGTTTTGATGTGCATGATGAAATAAAAACAGATTTCTCTTTCTCTCCTCATACACTATATAGAAAGAAGTATTCCCAGGGTGTGAGCTGTCCAGTTTAGCAGCTATTAACCAAAATAACAAATCCCATTTGATTCATCATGCTAACAACTATGCTTGGTGCATCACACCAACACCTATGCTTGATGCATCACATCAACACCTATGCTTGATGCATCACACCTATGCTTGGTGCATCACACCAACACCTATGCTTGATGCATCACACCAACACTTATGCTTGGTGCATCACACCTATGCTTGGTGCGTCACACCAACACTTATGCTTGGTGCATCACACCAACACCTATGCTTGGTGCATCACACCTATGCTTGATGCATCAAACCTATGCTTGGTGCATCACACCTATGCTTGGTAAACCACACTGACACCTAAGCTTGATGCATCATACCAACACCTATTGTAGCTTCATTTCCTTGTCAATCACATTTCTAATAATCCCCATTTTCCTTGTCTTGCATAAAAGGGGATAAAAGAAACTAAGACAGAAAGGCAAGTGTTTGTCCTTGACATCAAGGCTTATACTGTAATGGATAGCATTACCTAGTAGGGCCTTCTAGTCACTGACATAAGCAGAAAATGTTATCATTTTTAGTTTGGATATAATCTCTATCTTATATCCTTTGCATTAGGCTGCTATTATCATAAGGGGAGACACTAACAGTTTCACTGTAACTGATACTCCAATTCTCAGGGGTATGCACTGAAGCTCAAATGACCCTTCTTGATGAGACACTGAAGAGAGACCAGTTCCCTAGAAACCAAAAATTGTGGAATGTATTCAGGGATTGGGATTCTTTGTGGGTGTTTTTATAATCCTTCAACACAAGTATAAATTATATTTTCTAAGCCAAAACTACCATGCAACAAACAGTCTCTTAAAAATGTGTGTTTGAAACACACATGAGGAACATCTTTAAACAAGTGTAAGTGGGCACAACAGGTGACTTCCACTGAAGTGAAATTTATCACTTCGGGTTAATTGCTTTTAAAAATGAATCAAAACCTACCCACCACCCTCATGCACCTACCACTGAAAGCCCAAATATATGTATTTTACTAATGGGAACTAAATCTAATCACTATACAGGGTCTGAAGCATTAAAAAAAATACTAGCATTAGAGTCATAAAACATAGCTAAGCCCCAGTCCTGCTCCAGATTAGTTACTGTGCCTGAAAGCTTGATTCTGCCCCTAAATCACAAAACCTTTAGCCTTAACATGACAATACTAGAGAGCGGGACTTTGAGGATGATTTGCTCATGGGTTAGAATCCTGCATGGGGTTAGTGCTCCCTTCACCCTTGTATCAGGCATGGGACTGAGTCCTGCATGGGGTCAGTGCTCCTACAAGGGTGGATGAAGAGAGACCCTTCACCCTTGAATCAGGCACTGGACTGAGTCCTTGTATCAGGTGAGGTCAGTCCTGTATCAGGTGAGGTCAGCAAGAAGGAAGCTTGCTTTGAGGAGTACGTCAGATCAGAATCTCGTGAGTTCACACACATGACACAAACAGCACCTTCATGGACTGGAAAAGGTTAGCATGAGCCAATAACTCATGTGATCATTTTTATCTTTCAATAAGTTGCTACCTCATGAGCATTCAGGATGCCAAGGAGAGGTTGAGGTCAGTTTGGGCAATAGAGGAAGTTCCAGACCAGAAAGATGAAGGAAACAAAAGATTGCTTTTGCTCCTCTGTCATTTAAAGTCCTGATTAAAACATGCAACAAACTCAAGTTTTTGTAGCCCTTGATGACTTAGAAAGATGGAATTAAGGAAGAGTACAGGAAAGTCACCAGACATGATGTAATGTCTTGGAAAACACATCAGGTCGCCAAGTATCAGAGGGAAAATCACAGGCAGCTGGAGCCGAGGGCTGAGAGGAGAGATCTACATCACAGGGGCTGTAATCCTAGGCAGAGGGACAGGGACAGACCAAAGAGACTCCACCAAGACATCTGAGGTACCAAATGTCTTTTCTTTGCAGCTTCTTCTCCCCCTGGTCAATGCTTTCCTTGGACAAAACAAATAGAGAAACTGAAGCAGGAGAGTCCTGCGTCATGCCACCCAGCATGGACACTGACTACCTGGAGCTCAGGGCAGACGGAAATCAAGAGGCGGCAAGAGAATTCAAGTCTCTTCCCCTGGTGTGGAGCAGGATAGCTCCTCCATGGTGCTCTCAGCCCAAAGCTTCTTTGTGATGTCACAGGCATGAGCTGCTCATCCAGGGAGCCCATGTGCTGTGCAGAATAGAATCCCTTCTGAATTCTGTCCACAGATTAGTGTTCAAATAATATCCATCCTGACACCAAGAGCCCATTAGAACCTTACGATGTACTCATCTGGAATAATCTTAGACCGCCACAGGATTCCACAGAGAATGTAAGCAAATCAATTGCTTAGGTTAGATGAAATGTCAATTTTAGTAAGGATTGATTTTCTATTCTCTCTCTCTCTCTCTCTCTCTCTCTCTCTCTCTCTGTCTGTCTGTCTAATTGGTTGCTTTGGACATCAATGGTTTGAGTGCATGCACATACACACACACACACACACACACACACACACACACACACACACATACAAGCTATAATGATTTATTTTATTTAGGAGAGCCAGCAAACCAGAAAGATTGAAGCACAGCCTTATTAATCCTTTGATGGACTATGCATGTGGTATCACGCCACACTATAGACAGTGATCCAGGGTAAAGGAGGAAGCAAGTGGAAGGGGGTTTCTTCCAAAGAAATGGTTGATGTATACCTCTAGCATAGGAAGGACAAGGAGAATGCCCATCACCATAGAAAAGAAAATATTGCTAATTAGATACCCACTGTCAACACTACTGACTACCCTATTACATCCTGCCTCATTTAGTCTACACAAAAGCCAAGCAAGATGCTGACATTTAGAGCTTTATATGTAAGGGGTGGAATTTTTCTGAGGTGCAGCAAAACAAAACCAGGAGATCCAATAAACTGCCCTCCTTTGAAGATTGTACAACTGGAAGCAAGTCCACACACAGCCTCATCTTCTACTTTAGATGCTTGCGTGCATGTTGAAAAGCATCAGGTACACATGAAAATGTGTCCTACCTGTGCATGGCACCAATTTGGAAAAGCATAATTTCTTCTAAATTATCTACATTTGAAAAAAGTGTTTAGAGTAATGTTGCCACACCTAGAACCATGTTAGAAAAAAATGGGCTCATGAAACATTTAACCTAGAACAGGCATGGCACGCCAGGCGTGATGGCACATGTCTTTAATCCCAGCACTTGGGAGGCAGAGGCAGGTAGATCTCTGTGAATTTGAGGCCAGCCTGGTCTACAAAGAAAGTTCCAGGACAGCCAAGACTATTATACAGAGAAACCCTGTCTCATGGGAGGGAAAGGGTGGCATGGCAGTTCCCCTCACGCCTCAGCTCAGGATGAGTCTCCTGTTTTGTGCTTAGAAATCAAGCCCGCACAAGTAAACTTGAGGCCAAGTACCAAATCCTGTTCCCTTTGCGTTCTCTCCAGCGCCAGACAACAAAAGGCACACACAGCTGGGCTAAAGCATAGACTTGGTCAGTGAGGAATCAGCCTACCACAGTGTATGACAGACACGAGACATCAGGAAGAAAGACAGTACCAGCTTATCTGCCAGGGAAAAGGGCACCAAATCAGCCTTTCACTGTTGGTGCTGCAAAGTAAATTTGGTTTCCATGCAGGCCAGGCATAAAACGTGTGTTGGGGCCCTTTCCCATCCTTACCGCATGTCCACTCAACACTCACACACATCCAGATTGTGACATTTTGCAAAAGAACAGCACAAATAAAATTTTAGTAGAGTGGCCAAGGTGCTCTTCAGGGAAGGGCCTTGACTGCCAAGCCTGAAGACCTGGTCTGGTCACCTGGAACCATACACAGTGGCAGGAGACAACTGGCTCCTACAAGCCGCCTTTTGACCTCCAAATGCACAGCCCCAGCAGACACACAAAATAAATAAATTATATAATAAAAAATTAATTAGGAATTTGAAAGACACAGGCCAAAATGTAAATCAAGATCAACTACAAAATCTAAAGAAAGAAGAACCTCTAAGGCTAATTGTACGTACACATCACACTTAACACCAGATCATGTTTTCCCATTAGTTCTCATGAGAAGTACTATCCATCTTCAGTTTACATATGAACACTTTAAAGAGTCATGACATTAAATAGTTTGGCTATCAGCACATAAATAGCAAACAAGTAACAGAGAAGAGATTTGAAGATAAACTCCAGAGAGCAATCAGTGAAGAATAGTCCCAGAGAGTAGAAACAGGAAACCAGGCTTTCATTGGATGCTGAAGCCATTTGATAAAAATGGCATGTCTGGGTCTCAACTTTCTCCTCACACTGGTGAGAGCATCTCGGTTGCCTGAGAAAAAAAGAGCAGGAGACCTGGGACTGGAGTCCCAGCTCAAGTCCTTCTGGCCTGGTTCTACCAGGATGGCTGCTTCCTCTCTTTGAACCACAGTCTCAAAATCCTTCCAATGGAAATGATAATCTTTGAAAGGCTATTAAGAGGATTGGTCGAAGTGCTTCAGAATCTATTAATCACTAAGCTATAGACCGTTTTGATCATTCTCTCCCACTCTAACATCCTCGGCCTCCTGCAAGCCAGGAAACCGCACAGCATCAGAAGCGGGCGCCGGGGGGGTCACCCCAATCTGATGCACCTTCACAGCCATTTTCAAGAGAGAGAAAGACGTTACCATTCTCTGCAGTTCCCAGCTTGAGTGCCCTGCACCACGACAAGAGGAAGTCAGAGAGATCTGGTGACCAGAACAAAGGGCATGAGTTATGCTAATGGCATGGCACAAAGCCCTGGAAGAATTCTGGAAAGCATCATCGGCACTGCTGCCGTTTGTTAACTTATTTATCAGCATGTGCAGAAATGGGAAGGCCCTTCAGAATATTTTCATTTAACTAATATGTTTTTCTACCTCTTAGACACACCTTTTGCTGGTGATAGGTGTTTTAAATCGCTGGGCTGGCCCTCGTTCTTTCAGAGACTATCATATCAGGGTTCTTTCTGTTGGGATGTTCTTATAGTTTGACTCTATCACTTACATTCAAGGTTTATAATTTAATATCATGATATATACAGTAAAAATTAACATGCCCACCATTATCCATCATTGCACAGGGTTACCCCTCTTTATATGTGCGTTGAGAGCACCTAAATTGTATTCACTTAGGAAGATATTCCAGACAGACAGACAGAATACACTATTTTTAACTATAGTTAATCTGAATCTGCTTCAGCTTTATACCCTTTGGCCAAATAAACTCCCTAGAAACACCCCCAACACACACACACACACACACACACACACACACATACACACACATACACACACACACACACATACACACACATACACACACACACACACACACACAGTAAGCATTATCCTTTTTTAAAAAGAAGACATGTTTGCTTTTAGAAGGTAGGAAATTATTTCTATTATCTGACAATTTTAGATCCAAGCATTTTTTGTTTTGCTATTGTTGTTGTTTTATCCAGTAACTATTATTTTTTAATTCTCTGCATCTTGGCTTCTTTTTACCTGAAATAAAGTAAAACAGCCCCCCACAGTTCTTCTGTTTCTAACAAAATAATGCAAAGTGCTTTTGTAAATTCTAAAGAATTATTATTTATTGCCCACCAACTCTGCTAAGTAAGAACCTATTTCTTAGTCACCTAGCCCATGTCATTTTGAAATCAAAGATGCAGCTCAAGGAGAGGACAGAGAAGCCCTTATGTTTATTCTGGAAGCACTGCACATAAGGGAATCCTACCCGGTACACAGAAAGAGGGAGCTGCATTATCCAGGAACTCCAGAGGGTCCGCCCAGCTGCTTGGACATTCAAACCCAGCTCCAAGCAAACAGACCTTTAAAAAATCAGTCATCAGGAGGGTGCACCCAGCCATCTGATGGACTCACAGCATCTGGGCATGAAATATTTTATTTCACAAATCCCTCTTCCCTACCCGCCCCTCCTCAGTCACACGTACAAACAATCTGGACAGCCCATAAGGCAGAGGATAATTTTAGGGCTTTCCCCAGGGCCTGGCTGGAAGCTTTCCAATCATTTCTTTCTGTGAAGTCAGATGCACTGTTTCTTTATACATGTAAAAAGATGAAATCAGTTTCTATTCCATTCTATTTGCAGAATGAGATGGGAAAACTTGAAAGTCTCACATAGCCCCCTTGCAGATTCCTAGAAAGGAAACTCCCTACACTGGAAGAGGAGGGGGAGGAGAAGGCAAAAGGAACACTCCAAAGGGAAGCAAGAGCAGTTTGCTAACCCCTGAGAAGCCTCCATGCGCACGATCTCACATACACAAACATACATGGGGCTGGAGAGCGGAGCTGAGAAATAAAACCACCATCATTTCTGGGTTTGCTTTAACTGTTGGTTGTGTCGTGGTTTTATCCTCAAGGCCGCTCCAGGAGCAAATGCTCGTGCGTCCATCTGTCTGTGTAATCTTCCTGTCTGCCCTCTCCCGTCGTCCCAGCTTTTCCTAAAAGATAGATAACACTTTTTATAACTTTATTTTTATTAGTGTTCACAAATTGTACAAGATAACGGGTTTTGTTGCAACATTTTCATAGTGGGAATATATTATGTACTTGGATCACATGCTCCTCTCTTCCCCTGACCACGTTAGATTTTCCAAATCATCGTCCTTGTATCTTAATGAATTTTTAAAGGTCTGGAATTCACATATAAGAAAACATGATATTTGCTTTCAGAAATTTGGCTTACTTTGTTTAACATAGTGAAATTTTCCCACAAATATGATGTCAGTTCTTTGTGGCTTAAAACGCTCTGTGGCATATGAAGACCATGTTCTCACTATCCACTCATCCACTGATGGGCTGATCTCATACCTCGGTTACAGCGAATAATGATAAAGATAATAAACACTGATCTTCTGTTATCTCTGTATGCCAGCTTTGCTTCCTTACGGTATATACCAAGAACGCTATAGCTGGATCATATGGAAATTCTATCTTTAGTCTTGGAGGACCGGCCATGCTTATTTCTGCAGTGCCTACACTAAATCGCATTCTTCCCACAGTGCATGAGGGTTTCTGATGGTCCTCAAAATCTCGGTCAAAGTTCATTGCTATTCATTCCCTTCATACTAGCCTTTGTGACCGGTGTGAGAAAGACACTCTGGAGTTTTTAATCTACATCCCTCGGACAGCTAAGATGCTGGGCGTTTTTCATGTTCATATGAGATTTGTCTTTTTTCCTATATTTAGTATTCATAATGGCTATGAATGCTTCATTGGATGAAGAGCTGACACCAAGACTCTCTGCTTTACTTAGGCAGGGCTAAG